GGGGGAGGGGGGCGGGGGCGAGGGGGTCGCGGCTATAGGATGGGGTGAGCGGGGTGCCGGCGCGTGCGTCCATGGGTGCGGGTCGCCGGCGCCGGCGCGCGCGAGGCTTTGGAGGGGGAGAAGAAGAGCGCGCAACGCGAGCGTCGAGTGTGCCGCGCGCGGAAGCGGGCGCCGCAAATACACCGCGCGATGAACCGCATCCACGCGCGCGCCCAACTGCTTATACCGCGCGCGCGATTATTGCGCGCCCGCTGGAGCCATCCGCCGGGTTGCGCGCGCACTAAAACGGGAGATTTTGCGGCGCGGTGCCTGTTTAGCGTGCCTGTTGAAGATGCTTTTAGGTCCAATGATCGAGCGAACGAGTAATATTCATTCCAGAATGTATTGTTCACTCCATAGACTTTTGGCTGAACCAGAATCACTTTGTGCTAGAGTTTTGAAAGCCAAGTACTTCCCTGATGGCAACCTTCTTAACTGCAATCTTAAGAAGGGTAGTTCTTACACATGGCAAGAGTCTATGGAGTGGAATTCAAACTTTTAAAAAAGGGCGTATATGAAGGGTAGGGGACGGCTCTCAAATAAATAAATGGAAGGTTCCATGGATCCCAAGTAGTCCTACAAGGAGAGTAATGACACCAAGAGGCAATATTGCTATCACAAGAGTTTCTGAATTAATAGATGAAAGAGAATAGAGTTTGGGATGAGCAGTTGCTTAATGAATTGTTTTGGCCTATTGATGTGCAACGTATTCTGAACATTCCCTTGGCCCTCGGAATGATGAGCGATTTTGTCTCTTGGCACTTCAATAAAAATGGTATTTTCTTTGTAAGGTCAGCTTATTATGAAGAATAGGAACTCCAGCATGGACGAAAATTGAGAATGACAAACTCAGTTCAATCCTCAAGTACTAATCCTATTTGGAGAACCATTTGGAAATTATGTGTGCCGGCCAAGATAAAAATTCATGTGTGGAGAGCTTTACTTGGAGCTATCCCTTACATGGGGGTTCTAGCTAACAGACATATGATGACTAGCTCGCGGTGTCCTCTATGTACTGCTGATTGTGAAAGTATCAAACATGCCCTCTTCTTATGCCCTAGGGTTCAAGAAGAGTGGCACATCCTGGGGCTGGGACATATGGTAATTGAAGTATGTGCTGCTGCAAATTGTGAAGGAGGCTCGGCGCTAGCTGATTTATTTTTGTCCAGGAGCAATTTGCAGCCTTCGATGTCAGGGGTCCAACGTAATGAACCAGTGGCCACTACTGTGTGGTACGTGTGGTGGGAACGACGCCACTACGTTCATGAGGATCTCCTACAGGACCCAGCCAGATCAGCACAGGCCATTGCTGTATTAGCAAAGAATTTCACGAGAGCAAGAGAAAAGAAGACGAGGATTAGGAGACATGTTTGGGAGAAGCCACCTGAAGGCACTGTGAAACTTAATATAGATGTTGGTTTTGATCTGGATAGTGGCTCTGGGAATACAGGAGCAATATTACGTGATGACATGGGAATTTTCATGGCTGCCTCATGCGGTGATATTCCCTTTGTGGAGGACGCGGCGACGGCAGAAGCAAGGGCACTGAGAGATGGGTTGCTGCTAGCAAATGATCTGGATGCAACAAACTATACGTTGAAGCAGATTGCATGGAGGTGATTGAGGTTATGCAGAGCGGTGGGAACTCCCTCGGGCCGGCGGCGGCCATCTATGAAGAGTGCTCTTTCTTAGCTCGTAATTTCAGTTTTATAGTATTTAATCATTGTCCTAGGGAAGCCAATATGGCGGCAGATGTATTGGCTAGGAACTCGAAGACACCTCGAACTATTGTTTGGAAGACCGAGCCTCCAGCGTTTCTAGTGGATGTTTTATCGAACGATGTATCCTTGTTTTCACATGAAATATAAACCGCCATGATGGCTTTCCCTAAAAAAACGAGTAATATTGATTCTCCACAGGATTTGCTACAGCCAGATTTCAGCACGGGAGTTTTTTTAGGGGTAGCACGAGTTATATGTCTCGCTTCACACGAGACTGGCTTCTGACTCGCCTGAAGCGCCCCGCAACCGCGCACGCACACTGTCGGTCGGTCCAGAGTGAAGTCTGTTCTAAACCCTGAGATTGTAGAGCGTGACGCAAATGAACCTCAATGTATAAATCCCTAAAGTCCATACCATATACTCATCGATCCTTGTCAATAGTGACCCTAAACCCACCCTGTACCTGTTTGGAAGGCCAGTCCTTGTACAACATTGTCAGTTCCGCTTTCCCCTCTCTTGCAGGGGCGTAACCGGAGGCGAACCGCCTGCCAGCGTTCTTCACCAGCGAAAGGAGGGGCTCCTTCACCCTTATTCGGCGACGGGAGGGGAAAGGAACCTGTCGATGTAGTGTAGATAGGTTAGGGCTACGTGTGTGCTTGTCCGCTGGTACGTTTTCAATGATGATGGCGGCGGCCAATAAATATGCCCTGGTTCTGTCTCTGGTGGCTTCCTAAGGTTCGGTCAACGGCGGATCTGGTGGCTGGTTCGCCAATCAGGGCTAGGGCAGCGACGATGCTGGCCCTGATGTGGCTTTCCTGCTCTGACCTCGTCGTCGCGGCGGCGACCTGTCAGAATCGAGGCTCCGAGGACCCAACAAGATTCGAACTCTGGGGTGCGCTCGCTGTACCCGCTACGCTTTGTCTCGCGACTCACAAACTCACGACAATGCTCCGGCGCGCTTGAGCTAGGGAGGACGAACGAAGACACGGCAGTTTACCCAAGTTCGGGCTACATTGCGGTGTAAAAACCCTTCTCCTGTCTTTTAGGGAAGAGCATGCTGCGTGGGGACTAAGAGGCTTCTGGGCTTCTGGACTAAAAGGTTGTGGCCTTTCTCTGTTTTTATAAAAAGAAGTCCATTCACCCTAAAATGCGTCTTGATGGACAAATACTCCCCTCAACTCGAATTTGGTACGATTTCAACCCCCAAATCCTCAAAACCGGATGAATCTCCTCCTTAGGTGGTTTTGCTGCTGAGTTGTCAGATTGTAGGCGGTTTTAGAATATGATTAGGCATTTGACTCTATTTTCTTAGAAGCTAAACATTTGACTCTTTTGACGTGGCACCAGACCAGTCATCCTCGCTCATTCTTTTTCCTTCATTCATAATGCATGTCGTTGTAGACCATGGCTACGAGGACGCCGCTGCATCTGCCGTCCAAATCCTCAACCCTGCTTTTCTCCTCGTACATGTTTTACCTCTTCGTCCAAATCCTCGTTCGGAAGCGTTGAGCGCGATGTCACGGGGACGTCGCGGCAGGACCTTTCCACCCAGCGAGCATGCCAGGCGGCATGTCCTCCCACCGGCCGGCCACGAGGTCGAACACGGCGCCCTCCTTGGCGCAGCTGCCGTGTACGTTGACTATGCAGACCTTCCACCCGCGCAGACGACATCCGCGGCGTCCCGGCTGAACCGCCCGTCCCGCAGTGGCGGGAGCGGCTCCCACGGCGCGAACGGCGTGGCGGGGTCCCCTGTCGACCCGGAGCGCGCGACAGCGAGGTCGGAGCTAGCGCCCATGCCTCTCGCCACGAACAGGCGGCCGCGCGCCGCGCCCGCCATGCAACTGCGCGGGGCGACCAACCAGCGCGGCACGGGCGCGGTGGCCGGGTCAAACACGAGTGGGCTGCAAAGCGCCGGCTGGAGCGGCTAAGTGAACCCCACGATGAGGATGAGCCGCCCCGCCGCGGCCACGGATTGGAGCGGCAGCCAGCGAGAGAGGAACGACTGGTGGTAGAGCGCGGGGGTGGCAACGAGATCGGCGGCGGCGGCAGCCCGTCCCACCGCGCGGCAATCGGATCGTAGGCCGTGAAGGGAGTGCCACCATTGCCAGTGCCCTCGAGGAGCGCGTAGAGCGAGAGGAACAGCGGGAACGACGCCGCGTACAGGAGGCGGCGCCACGAGCGACAGAGACGATGTGCATGAGGAGCAGGCGAGCTTTACTGTCTATCTATGCATCCCCAAATACCATGCCACGTCACACGATCTATTCCCAAAACCGCCTAAAATCAAACGGAAACCACGTAAGGGTGAGATTTACCCAGTTTCAAGGATTTGGGGGCTATAATCGTACCAAATTTGAGTGGGGTTATTTGTCCCTCAGACTGCATTTGGGGTGAAAATGGACTTCTTTCTTTTTTATAAGAAGAAAAAGGATAGACGCGGGCTTGCATGAACCGTGGGCCGCTGGAACCGGGCCCATCTTTATTCGGCTCACCAGGGGTGCCGCACCAACGAAGAGACCACCAGTCCACCAGCGGGACGTGGCGACTGCTCTGAAACCCCCAAACCAAAACCATGGAGCAAGCCACCCCTCCCGCCGCCGCTGGCGTCGACCTATCCCCGGCGGCGACCGACCTCGGCCGGGTGCACCTCCTGCCCTGCGGCATCAGGCACAACAGCGCCGCCGCCGTCTCCGACTACTTCAAGCCGAGGGACACTGGTCCGTTCGCTCGTTTCCCCTCCTCTCTCTGTTCGTCCGTCTACCTTCTGTCTGTTTGGTTGACGAATTGGTGGGTGCGTGCGTGCGCGCAGGCGTGGAGGTGGATGGGGTGAAGGTGGAGGAGGCCTTCTTCCGCGGGAGGAACCTGCAGGGCGCCACCGTCGCGCTCCCCGATGGCTACCGAGGTGAGCTCCCGCGATCTGATGGTGCCATGTAAACCTGTTTCTGCTCGGTGGAAACGGTGACGATACTTAGATTTGGGAGCTCTGGAACAGATTTGAAAAACTGCACAAAGCAAACTTCTCTCTGTTGGAATTATGCTGTCCTTCTATCCATATATGAGAAATGTGCGCGCTACTGCTTGATGTTAAAGCTTTTCTTTGAGATCTGGATATTTAAAGATGTATCGTGACCTGATCCTGTGTTAAATTAAAATGTGCCAGAGTGTACTTACTTAGATAGGCTTAATTCATTTCAACAGGGTGGTGCTTATAATGGAAACCTTCGCAAGGGACGTGAAATTTGGTTTAGCTCACCACAGAAATGGCCATTGAATTGTGACATGGTCTTTTACTATTTTATTATCTTGTGTCAAACCCGCATGGAAACAAAAATCTTAGATGCCTTATTCCTGGCAGAATGTAAAATTGTCTAGGGATACTAGGTTTATAAATATAACAATGTATTTCTGGACTATTAAGGCCCTGTTCGGAGTCACTCTGACTCCACAACTCCGCTCCGGAGCAGCCGGAGCTGTAGTTGCAAATCAGGGAGCAGCTAATTCCTCGCTCCGCAGATCCTTGAATTTTCAGAAGTTGGTGGGTTGCCAAACAGGCACTAATATACACACACGTGCAGTAGGGGTTCTCCCCTACTATCTCATTCTCACTTGTCAAAAAAAAAGAGTATTTCTGGACTATAGCGATGGTATGATATGATGTTGGTCACACTCTACTCTTCCATGTTTTCAGTACAATGTCTGAGTTTGGCACCATCTTCTTGTATGTTGCTCGAGTTTGGTGGTCTGAAACTTACCTGTAGGTTATGTACTGGAGAAGAAGAAGAACGAAGAAAAGGATGCTCAGGGCATGGATGAGGAGGCTAGCAATTTTGTATCCCGTGCAGAATTCCAGAACATAACTTACTGGAACCATGACACCATGCCATCAGCAGAGGATCCTCTCCCACGGTGCTTTCATTGGTTAGCCATTGCGAATGCAGTAAGTGTTTTTTCCTTTCTTTCCAGAATGTGTTTGATCCATTTTTAGCAGTTGAGTTGTTATGCTTCTGTACTGTTCGGCTTCCATCCCTAAAATATTTGGTACATGACTGTTGACCATGTTAGTCAGGGTAAAGTACATAATAAAATACTAGAAGAATGCCCGTGCGTTGCAACGGGGCCACATTAACTTTAAGAGTTCAATATTACGACATTGGCGACCTTTTTTACCATCAAATCCTCACACACACAGACACACACTCTCCCTCCCTCTTCCTCACTCTCTATCCCCCTCTCCCTCTCTCTCTAACACACACACATATCCATCTTATTGGGTACGGGACCATAATCCATCTATTTCACACATACACGCTAATGCATAACAATATGGATTATGTGTATTATATTTGCCACCAGAACTGAGGGAATTAATTTCATGAAAATCGACCAGCCAAAGCTCCAAGAATACGCGGACGAGGTGGCTCGGGTCGGCGTCGGCGCCGTCCAGCGCGGGCCACGGGCCCGCTTCCAAGTGCACGTGCAATGCACGTCTTCACAAATATTATAACCAGATGTGAGAAATCACATGCATAGAAAAGACATTCTGATAGCAATCCAAATACCATACTCAATTGAATACCTAATCTGGACAATACTCTTATTTCTATGCGCCAGAAAAAATGGAATAGCAAAGCTAAGTATGCCTACATACACTCAGATTATATATAAGAATCTTGGGTGAACAATTGCAACAAAGCACTAAGCAGCGATAAATTTAAATAAAAAATCCATTAACTATGCAGGCAGCAGGCTTGTTACAACATAGAGAGATAGGAAAATGTCACCTCCAGTAATGTAGCGCAAAGGAGTGGAACGAAGCATGAATGAGCGGTTGTCTGTTCTTCTCCATGTACATGGATCAGCAGTAGAGCCAAGTATATAAGTACTTGACTGAACTCCACTATTCGTGCACGGAGAGCCATGTCACCTTCTCGCCGCTGCAGCATGGGAGGACGGCTGGTTCACGTGACCCTCCAGCTGGGGGATCCATGGTGGCTGACCGTCGAGCTCGAGGCAGAGAAGTTGAGGGCAGCAATGGCGAGATCCATGCCGGCCAACCGGGCAAAGAGGAGGTCGTCGGGGAGGGACACATCGGCAAGATCCGGTCACCACGCGACCTGAAGAGAAACAGTGATTTCCACAAGTTGTAGGCCAGCGGCGTGCTCCATCCCCTGCGATGGGGTGACCATGGCGGTGGCCACAGCTCCTCATGCTCGCCTCAATCTCGGCGACGCACCCTTAGTGTAGGAGGCAGCAACGACCTCGATGAAATCATGGCCTCCATCCCGGAACGCATGAAGGACCTCGACCCCGTCGCTACTCCTCCCGCCTTAGCCGCACGCGGCAGTGGACCGTGGGTAGGAGGGCAGGCGGCGTCGCCTCGGCTGACGGCAGGGAGCAGCATTGATTTCGGGTAGGTGGCATCGCGAGGACGGCCGCGGCCGCGGGGAAGCACCCCGGTCATGCTGCCAGGCCAATCCTTCTCCTCCAATCCCCTATCCCCGAAGATTGCGCCGCCGCCCCGGTCGTGTTGTTTCCATATATTATGCCATTTTTTTCCTGTACCTAAACAAACGTGGGTGAGCGGATGGCAGAGTTTTGGTCCGCCCTCTAAAATTGCTAAACGCACTTTTGGTGAGGATTATTGTTATAAATGAATTCAATCATGTCGCTCTAAATAAATGGATTCAATCATGTGACTCTAATTACTTCGGATTGTTATGTGCACACTAAGCGGGGTGCAGTTAGGAAAGAAAATGTTTTCTAATTAAAGTGATTGAGTGATTTAAGGTAAGGTTAATTAATTTAGATTTGATTTTTAGTGATTGTTAGTAAAGTATGATGCGTCTTTAAAATCTTTTATTTGTTTCCTTAAAATCTATTATTTGTTTCCTAAAGAAATTTGCAATAATGGAAGGTATCGGTTGATTTGAATAAGTTAGTAAATTTAGATCCGTGATTGCGTGCACGTTTGGAAAGTGCTGATTTGCAAGGAAAGAGCTGAGGGGTAAATAAACCGGTGAATAAGAAACCAGCATCGAAAAAAATCTACGACGGTTAACCTACGAAAAAAAACCGGACGAAAGTGGTGGGACGAAAAAAAACCTGGAAGCGAGACTACCAACTGCTCCATTAGGAGTAGAGATTTGGTTGATGATATTTGGTACATGACTGTTGACCATGTTAGTCAGGGTAAAGTACATAATAAAATATTTGGTTGATGACTGTCGACCATGTTAGTCAGGGTAAGGTACATAAGACAAAATTTTGGTGAAGTCAATATGAGCTATTCCCATAGAATGAATTAACTTCTACTAATTGCTTGGTGAGTTTGATTATGTTAACCATTGTGTATGCAGTGAGTGTTATTTTTCTTCCAGAATTTGTTTAATCCATTTTGAGCAGACGAGCTGTTATGCTTTTGTACTGTTTAGCTTCCATCCCCCATATATTTGGCAGACGACCATTGACCATGTTAGTCAGGGTAAGGTTCATAAGACACTGGTGAAGTCAATATGATCTATGCCCATACAATGAGTTAACTTGTACCCTTGCTTGGCTTGTTTGATTATGTTAGTAACTCCGCATTCCAAGTTCCACATTCTCTTCGTGACTGTTAAATGGACAATGCTTTGCAAACTAAACATTATTGTTCGTTTGATTGATTCTGTAATGTGTTGTTCCTGGACCTACTTGTGCTGAGCTTACAGTTGACCAACATGATGTATCTTTGTTTGGCCAATATTCCTTTCATTTTGTTAGCCGGTTAGGTATGGTAACACGTAGTGGTATCTACTAAAAGAACTTGTGAAACTTTATCAGATTGTCTTAACTCAAGCTTCCTGTTTGTGCAGATGCACAAGCCAGTGACTGCTGAAGACATGGCTAACATGTCAGCCAGGCAGAATCAGAACAGTTGACCAAGATCTATTACATAGTGAATCTGTTATTTAGTTCCAGCAAGAGCCAATCTAACAAGCAATCTACCACCCTGATGAACTTGGAATGTTGCAATTGTAACGGTCGTTAGCTGCGAGCCTGTGAGGGCCAGGCACTCTTGTGTTAAGATTATCAGTCTGTGTTGCCAACCTGTTGTTCTCTTCTTGAGGGGGCTCTTTCCTGTTCTACTGAGCAGTTCATTTGTCAGCCTATCAGAGTGTAGTATCAAAAAACGTCTTACATTATGGGACGGAGGGAGTACATGTGATCTTGTGAATTTAAGTTCTCATGACTTGATATGATGTGGACATATTAAATTGTCATAATATGACACAGGAAATTCTCATAATCATAAGTGCCAATGTGCTACCGCTGCTCCCAACCTAAGAGAAGTGCCACATTTTAGTCATTTTTTTAAAGGATGCTTTGATAATGAAATCATTTCTAACACCAAGATAGATTGCGTCATATAAATTTGTTGCAAGACTTAAACATGACTTTTTGGCATTTTTCCAAGGTACTCCCTCGATAAAGAAATATAAGAGCGTTTAGATCACTACTTTTCCACGTTCTTATATTTATTTACAAAGGGAGTAGTAGATATGATCGTACTATCCTGGCAAAAAAAAAACAATGATCGGTATTAGGTAGCACAAGCGTGGTAGCATACTACATGAGAGACGTCCTGGAAACCATTCAAAAATGAATATAAAGAAAAATAAACAACCTTGGCAAACAGCGGATTCAGAACTGGTTATTTCCTGAAACAGCAAAACATCTGCAAAATTACATCACATTACAATGTTACAACAATACTGCAAGCAGAAGCCTCTTCCAGAACTCGATGAAAATCGAAGGATAACAAACCACTAAACCGTGTTCTAAGTTCTAACCCGCAGAGCCAAAAAAACAGAGATACAAATTTGATTGGTACAGCTCAATATGTAGTACAAACTTCTATCATAACTACGAGAAGATGGTAAAAAAAATGAACGCTATTAGGGCATGGCGGATTTCCTATTGTAAGCCATCGAAGAAACCAGGTCCGGCCTTTGATTTCAGTTCGTGGCCGGCGTCTTGACCTAACGCGACCATGTCATCAAAAGAATATGTTCCACTTCTTGACGTCTCGTATACTATAAGAACAATCATGCACAAACACAGAAATTATTGCCTAACAAAATATGGCTAGTTCATATCATATGAGCTTAATTGAAAAGAAAACCATACCTATAGAGCCATCTGGTGAAGCCAATAGCCCCCGGAATGAGCAGTTCCCATCCTTGTCACGATAAGCATATGCCGCAATTGGAGTTCGGCAGTTACCATCAAGAACAGACAAGAATTCTCTTTCACATGCAACAGCTAATCTGGTATCTTCATGATTCAAAGAGGACAGATACTCCATCTACACACAAAAAATGGAAAGAGGGGGGATCAGCATCTTTAACTAGATGGTGTAAACAAAAGAAAAACTCAGGCAATTGGCTGGTGTGTTCTGCGCACAACACAGAATGAAACTCAGGGCACCTACGCACAACACAGAATGAAACAACAGTATGCAATAGGAAATCAGAATGTTCTAACTCCATGCTCTCTGAGTAATTTCGAAAACTAAAATATTCAACATGGTGTGGTAAAAGTTCAACAACAAAAAAATGATTGGAGGCAAGCTAGGCAAAATGGCTAATAGCCGAGCAATTTTAACATGCTCCCTCTTACCCCCTCTTTTCACATGGGAGGTAATCAGGTAAGAAGGTAAGAGTTAATCAAACCCACTACTCAATGCAACCAACGGCTCAGATCTATTTTGTACTCTTACCTCTCAAGTGAAAAGGGGAGGTAAGAGGGAGCATGTTAAGAAACCTCAATAAAGATGTGAAATATGAAGAGTTGGTCGACAATGCAGAATTGAACACAACTGCATCTTTGTAAGAACATGATGTGGTACAATGGCCAATAAAGACCACAAAATAGACACTTGAACCTATCAGGTTATCAGAGGCACATGCAAAATTGAAGTATTAAAACATAGCGGCATAACACAGCTGGTACCACATTTGGGTATGGCATTATGCATGCATGCAGCATCTAAGATTTTTACTCTGCTAGCAGATTGAAACATTAGACGACCTACCATTTTATCATCATTGCTCCTGCAAGTTATTCCAATAGCGCCTTGAGCGACTGCTGGAAGCATTTCGTCTACTGATAATACAGATGTTGCAGTTTCTGGCATGCCTAACCGTTTTAGTCCAGCCAGTGCCAACAATGTAGCATGTACATCTCCTTCTTTAAGTTTCCTTAACCGTGTCTGAACATTTCCTCTGAAGTTAACAACCTGAAAACCAATTCACTATTGTTAAGCCCAAAATTAACCAAGAAGAGTCTCTAATAAAAATGGCTTGTAAAATAATAAAGCAGTACATATTACTAAAGTAGAAGACTGATTTACAGTGGGATTGGATGGGTTTTAGATAAGATTTTTTTTTTTTGCAAGAATACTGCTTGGCACATAAGGACATGAAACAACATCCCTTCAAAATAGCAATCTGTGATATACTCCCTCCGTTCCAAAATAGATGACCCACGCTTTGTACTAACTTTGTACTAAAGTTAGTACAAAGTTGAGTCATCTAATTTGGAACGGAGGGAGTATGTCCTTATACAAGTTTCAGGCAGTTTTATGTATGGAAAAGAAAAATATGAGTTTAACAGTGATGGGTTAGCATAGATTATTTTTAGAATGAAAAACAACAAGGAACAAAACATAAGGAAAGACGTATTGCACTAATGCAGTCATCACAAGTAGACTTACTTTTAGTGATGGATATTTATAGAGAATCTGAGATTGCCTCCGCAGGGAAGCACTTCCGATAACACTACCAGCAGGAAGCTCCCCAAGAGTTTTTGCAGTCAGGCATATGAATGCATCTCTCACATCTTCTCGTGGGAGGTTACAGGGCAATATCATGCCTTCGGGTAGATATGTTGGGACATCTTTCATCGAGTGGACCGCGATGTCAATGCTTCCCTGCAAGAGCGCATCGTCTATCTCCTTGGTGAATAAACCCTTGCCTCCTATATCCGCCAGGGGTTTGTCCAAGATCATGTCTCCTGTGGTCTTTATGATGACAATCTCAATGGCACCATCCTCGGCTAACTCCGTGTGTGCAGCTTTCAGTTCGTCACGGGTTTGACGGGCTTGTGCAAGAGCAAGAGGACTGTCCTACATAGTCAGCAATTTGGATTATAGACTTGCATGTGCAAGCAAGACACTTTGGTACAGAGGAGAGAAATAAAAACACATCGAACTGAACATTGAAAAAGACAGCTAGAATTCGACAGGACGCTTTTGTACTTTGAATTTGTCTCCCACCCCTAAAAATGAAGGCCGAAGCCACACAAATTTCCACCAAGTCAAATCATGAATTCAGTAGGCCAAAACAAGCAAAAGGTGGCCAGAAGCTAAACGAAACTCTGTATACATCCACGTGAAACCCAGAGCAAGTTCACCGAACTAAAAATCTCTGAAACATCTCACGTTGACCCCGAATCGAGCTGCTGACATGTATAGGTGCAGTTTTGCTGACTGGAAAATGTTCACTATTTAGCACGATTAAGGTCAACGGCGTGGTGCTACCGATGTTCCACGATTCCATCGAAGCCCCAGCTAAAATGCAAATCCTGGTAAACGTCCTCAACAATTCGCGTCAGAATCAGGCAATATCTGGCACCTAGAAACGCAATCGGGTCGGTCAGAGCCGCATCTCGAAACGGGAGCTCCTAGGGAAACAAAGACAGGATCTTGCGGGCGCCTCCGGCACATTGCCGCCCCCAAATCCAACCGAGTTAACACCCAGAGACGCGATTCTTGTACACCAAGCAACCGAGAATCTGTGACGAAGGGTTCGAATTGATCACCTCCCGCGCGTGCCAATCCGGATGAGGGAGACCTTGGGCTGCGCCTCGGCCTGGACGGCGACGGCGGCGCGCACCACCGCCCGGCGCGGGCGCGCGAGGCAGGTCGGCGAGCCGAGGAGGGTGTGGTTGGTGCATCTCAGCGTCGCCATCTCCGGCGGCTGGGAAGGGGGGCGAGAGAGGGGTCGGGCGAGGCGGGCGGGAGATGCAGGGGGAGGGAGGAGCAGAGCAGAGCAGAATTCTGCGCTGTTATGGAGAGGGCGGAGGGATGGATGAGGGGGCAGAGGATAATGTATTGTCCGGATTGGCCAACTCCTCCTCTCTCTAGTGCAGAGAGAACAGAGGGAGGGAGAGGGAAAGAAATCAGGTTTATTGGATCTTGTAGGTTTGCTGCGGTTTATTCAGCTCTTTTCCTCAACCAGCTTGAATGAATTTAATTTATTACTACTCCGTCTCATAATGTAGAACATGTTACATTATGGAACGAAGGGAGTAGGTTCATTTTTATTTAGTTCACGTATTAGCTTTATTGAAAGTCAAGTTTTGCAAATTTTAACAAAGTTTATAAACAAAAATATTAACATATACAATAACAAATCAATACCATTAGATTCATTGTTGAATGTACTTTCACATCATATACATTTGTTATAGTAAATGTTTATAGTGTTTTCTATAAACTTGATCAAACTTTATGAAGTTTGACTTCAGTCAAATCTAATATGCAGAGTAAATAAAAACGGATGGAGTAAGATATGGCTTGTTTATTTTATTGGGATCTTTTAGATATACAGAAGATGAGTTTAGCATGACGGAAGATTTATCTTTCGGCGTGTATTAAGAGATTTGATGTTTTTACAATGACTAAGTATTGAAGAGTACTCCTTCGCTCGTATGCAAGGGCAACCCGATGCGTGGGTTTCCTGTGTCGACAGTCTGCCTCATCTTTTGTAGTCTTAGGGCCATGGAGGCACAGTGGATCCAGACCCTTACTGGTCGGAGGACTTTATTTTTGGATGTTTTCGTGAGTTCTGTTAGGGTTTGTTTCTTGCTCTGAGAGGCAAGCGATGGCAGCTCTTTAAAGATGAAATAAGGTTATCCCTGAAGGAAATATGCCCTAGAGGCAATAATAATGTAATTATTTTATTTCCTTATATCATGATAAATGTTTATTATTCATGCTAGAATTGTATTATCCGGAAACATAATACTTGTGTGAATACATAGACAAACCAAACGTCACTAGTATGCCTCTACTTGACTAGCTCGTTAATCGAAGATGGTTATGTTTCCTAACCATAGACATGTGTTGTCATTTAATTAATGGGATCACATCATTAGGAGAATGATGTGATTGACATGACCCATTCCATTAGCTTAGCACCCGATCGTTTAGTATGTTGCTATTGCTTTCTTCATGACTTATACATGTTCCTATGACTATGAGATTATGCAACTCCCGTTTATCGGAGGAACACTTTGTGTGCTACCAAACGTCACAACATAACTGGGTGATTATAAAGGAGCTCTACAGGTGTCTCCAAAGGTGAATGTTGGGTTGGCGTATTTCGAGATTAGGATTTGTCACTCCGATTGTCGGAGAGGTATCTCTGGGCCCTCTCGGTAATGCACATCACATAAGCCTTGCAAGCATTACAACTAATGAGTTAGTTGCAAGATGATGTATTACGAAACGAGTAAAGAGACTTGTCGGTAATGAGATTGAACTAGGTATTTGAGATACCGACGATCGAATCTCGGGCAAGTAACATACCGATGACAAAGGGAACAACGTATGTTGTTATGCGGTCTGACCGATAAAGATCTTCGTAGAATATGTAGGAGCCAATATGAGCATCCAGGTTCCGTTATTGGTTATTGACCGGAGATGTGTCTCGGTCATGTCTACATTGTTCTCGAACTCGTAGGGTCCGCACGCTTAAGGTTTTGATGACAGTTATATTATGAGTTTATGAGTTTTGATGTACCGAACTTAGTTTGGAGTCCCGGATGTGATCACGGACATGACGAGGAGTCTCGAAATGGTTGAGACATAAAGATTGATATATTGGACGACTATATTTGGACACCGGAAGTGTTCCGGGTGATTTCGGAGAAAACCGGAGAGCCAAAGGGTTACCGGAACCCCCCCGGGAGAAGTAATGGGCCATATGGGCCTTAGTGGAGAGAGAGAGGCAGCCAAAGGTGGGCCGCGCGCCTCCTCCCCCCTGGTCCGAATTGGACTAGGAGAGGGGGGGCGGCGCCCCCCTTTCCTTCTCCCTCCCCACTTCTTTCCCCCTCCTAGTAGGAGTCCCCTACTAGGAGGAGGACTCCTCCTTGGTGCGCCATAGGGGCCGGCCGGCCTCCTCCCCTTGATCATTTATATACGGGGGCAAGGGGCACCCCTAGATACACAAGTTGATCCACGTGATCATATTCTTAGCCGTGTGCGGTGCCCCCTTCCACCATAATCCTCGATAATATTGTAGCGGTGCTTAGGCGAAGCCCTGCGACGGTAGAACATCAATGTAGCGACCCGACCTCAGACGGTCAAGCCTCTGTGTATCTGTGCCATCCCTGGATCGGTATGCTGGCACACACAGTACATCAATGTATATATCAAAGTGCAATCACATGTATAAATAACGTAAAACGGATATATACCTCATAAGTCTCAGCGGAAACAAACAATCAGGTGTGGAGTCCCATCAACGCCATCGGCAGGTTTAGTGTAGACCATAACCCTGTACCGTACTCTTACTCGTCGAAAGGAACATATCTGCAACATGAGACGTTGCAGCCGTGTAGGTCAGTACATTGAATGTACCGGCAAGATCACAATATGAGGAAAACAGATGATAAAACTATTCTATATGCAATATGGCTTTGTGGCTCTGTGTCTGATGTTTTTGCGTAAAAGATGGTTTTATTTTCCCTACCACAAAGGAATATCAGGAGTCTGTACTATGGAGTTTTCTATCATGACATGGTTCCGCCAACCGATGTCTCATAGCCCAAATTATCATAAGTTGCCCACAATTAAGTTATCAATCCGGTGTTGAGAGTTCCAAGATAGATCCAAGTCCAGAGGCTCAAATTGTCCGTAACCGGGGAGACGGCTAATCGATTAGGTTTTAACCCTCTACAGAGGTTTGTACACTTTACCCGCAAGATTCGATCCCTCTCTTTTCATTCTCGCACTTCAGGGTGTTTGAGAACAAGATGACCGAAACATGGTCTTCCGAAGAGTTCCTCTGACCACTGTCCGGTGCTCATCCAATCCTACCGTAGTTCTACATCTGCTAGCACCATCCCAGCCAGAGTCACCACTAAGGTCAACCAAGCCAGAGCCCATAGTGACTTGCGGTTGCACATGTAAGCTTCCGGGGATGAAGTATCCTTCCGTCTCTTTGAGTCTGGGTGAAGCTTTCCGCAAGATGTCATGGCGCTTCTCCATGCATCCCGGCCAACCACTGGTTTCTCCAGGGTGCCCATCAACCGTCCTTCACCCAGTAGTGTGTATTGAATTCTTGTCTCGAGTCTCGAAATCTTGAGGAGTCCTGAAGATGCAGTCCTTGTAGATGCCATCATGAAGTTGTCGTCTTTGACGTAAAGTCCTTCATTCTCACACCACTCCCGAGCACTCATACCAAACCCCGTCTACTACAGCGTAGCATTAAAACTATATACGTCCCGGGCTTGGTAACAGGGAGGTGGGTTCCTACCTCATGCATTCTACTCAAGTACAAGAATCAATATCACTACTGGAGAAGTTGTTGCAAGGATGACACTAAATGCAATAAAAATATAGGTATGAAAAACATGGTCAAAGTGAACTTGCCTAGTATGTTGATGAAGATATAAACGCTCTCGGAAACTTGATAAAACTATTCGTCACTCCGATGTAAATCTATATAGTCAAACATGGTAATCATATAAGCAATCGTCCTAGCAAACAATACTAGCACTCAAAATAACAATAAAAAAACAAGAAGAAAACCAAATAAAAAACCAAAGGAAAACTTCAAAAGAAAACTTCAAGGAAAACTAGTGGAGACCAAATTCACACAAATCTTACATAACATCACTAAATTACTCTAATAACTTTTCTACAGTAAAGAAAATAAAATTCTAATAAAACAACAACAAAATTTTTACTAAATCACTTACTAGCAAAAGGAACTAGTATGAAAACGATTGTAACTGACTAGTTAACACCAGAACAACTATAAAAACTAGCAAAAGACAAAAGTAAACAATACTAAAATAATTATCAAACTAATTTACTCCTAAATAACAGAATCAATGACAACATATAATGAAGTGGCAAAAAGAGTTACTTTTGAAACTAATGGAACTACTTTTATCAACTATCACTATGAACTAAACAAACAAATACTAAAATAGTAGCTAAACACTAGTAAATAACTACAAAAATTTATCTACTGCAGTCTAACATAAACATATGATAACATGTAAAAAATTACAAAAGGAATTAACTAAAAATAATTAAAAACACTAATTATATGACTAAAACAACTACATAAGCAAAATAGTACTGTTTTTGCAATAAACCTAATTAAATTAAACTAAAAAATGAATAACTATAAGCTACTGGATAGACAAAACAGTAACAAAACAGTAGCAAAAAGAATCAATCGAAAATATTTCATAAAACTCAAGATACGGCCAAAATAGTGATTTGGATAAATTTCATCAAATTCAATTTTAAACTACTCAAATTTGAAATCCAATGGTACAAACAGAAACTTCAACAAATTTTGAATCTAATGCAAAAAGAATCAATCAATTTGGATCTAAAACATAAAAGTTATAAGCAATATAAAATCAGAACTATTCTGTTTTTAAAACAGAAACGAAAAATAATAATAAAAAAACAAAAAAAAACTAACGGGCGCTACGGGGTGTGCGAGCTGAAACTAAACAGCGCTTGGGCGGAAAATAGTAGAAACGTGTACGGGCTAAAACAGAAAGACCGATCGGCTAAACCGACTCGACCTGAACCGATCTAAACCGAATAAAACTGAAACGAACCGGAACCAAACCGATCTATAAACAGAAAAACCTAAGCGTTCGTTAGATCTAATCTAGCGCGTCAATAACAGATCGGACGGAGGGGAATGGCTCACCG